GGCGGACTGTCGTCGAGCTCTCGTCATCTGGGTCGCCCTCGAGGGCGGCGCGCGGGCCTTCGCCTGGGCGCTAGTCGGCGCCTCGCGCCGAGAGGTTTGCCAGCGCGCGCAGTGCCAAAGTTGCCCCCCAATTCGGGGCGGTTTGCAGTGGCCATTCAAGGTTTGCCGAGGAAGGGTCGCCTGGACTCCTTCGCTGGCCAATGCCTGCCTGGGGCCCGCGCGCTGACCTCTGGCGTCGGATTTTTCAGATTCGCAATCCCAGCTGCGCGCCCCCTGCTTTCGCGCGGGTAAAGGCTCGCCGCGCGCGCGTGCATGCGTTGGACCAGCCTCCTGAGACCATCCAGTTTCCGGGCAGTTCGTGGGCCGACCTGTTCGCCGGGCTGGGGGTGCAGGAGCATCGGCGCGCGCAGGTTGCGGTTGACGCGTGGCGGCAGAATGTTAAGCAGTGTAAGCGCACGTTGAATGTGTTGATCGTGGGCCGCACAGACTGCATGTGCCAATGCTGGTATTCTCCTGCTCAAGTGAACGAGAGTGGTGCTATTGACGTTCCCTTGCTATGCGCGGCCCATCATGACGTACTTTCCACTGCGGAGCGGCGAGCGGACCAGTTTTTGAAAAGCCCGGGCATGTGTTTGCCAGGCACGACCGCGTCATCACCTATCGGATTTGTGCATACCTCGTTTTGCCCGATGGCTTGTGTAAGTTGTTGAAAGAGAGGTGCGATTCAGTTGCGCCTTGTGTAAGCTGTTGACAGAGAGGTACCCGATACCTTGTGTAAGCTGCTCGTCAGGCACGACCCGTGCCACGCACTTGCGTTTGTTGCGAAATTTTGCGTTTGGCCTAAACCCCAATATTGGGGTGCGCCTTCTGTCCGACGCGCGAGCCCAGCAGATGCCCTCGTCCGTCGCTCTTGGTGCCGCGGAGGCCCAGATATGGGCCCCTCTGCGGCTCGGCGGCTGCGTTTGAAGAGGCGTCCGACTGCCCTATGGTGGATGTTCATCGCGCCATGGTGCCATCCAGGATTCCAGCCCGAGGAGACGACGATAGCTCGGACTAGAGCTCTTCATATAATCTGTCCTGTTTTGTGGCAGTCTTCCATTGGTCGGCTGCCGACTTGCGCTGGAGCGTTGTGCCTGTCGCAGTGACGGGCATGCGCGCTGCTCCAGCTGTGCTGCGTCCGCGGCACATCCCTCTTTACCCTGCAGCTCGGTGCTAGTCGTTGACCTGCACCTTTGCTGGCTCGCTCGTTCGCTCGCCCTCGTCCTTCTCCGTCTCGTCGTCGTCCTCCTCAGCGCCCAAGCACACCTGCGGTCGCCGTGGCGCCTCCGCGTTCCTTTTTTTTCGTGCCACCTGTGCGCAGCTTGTCCAGCCGCTGCGTTCACTCTGCCTTTCGGCCGTCTTTCTGGCCGGGGGAGCCTCTGGCTAGCAAAATTGCTGCTGACTGGTGCGCACTGGCTCCCATCAGGGATGGGAGTATCGAGACAGCCCCCCATGCTTCTTCCTTATATGTACTCCCCCTGACTGCATGTCCAGACGCGTAGGTAGAACGTGCCGTGCGTTTCGCCAGATCCTTCCGCACCACTTATGACCCTGAAGCTTGATATGCGTACAACTTTAAAGATAGAGGGCAAGTCCTTTCCAAGGTGGAGTTCCCGCCTTAGCCCCGCACGAGTTCCGCTTAGAAGGTTGCACCGTGTTCAAGGATGGAGGGCGGGCAGTTTTCAAAGTTCAGCTCGCGCCCTCGCACTTCGCACATTCGTCTCAGGCGCCTGCAACAGCTGCAATGGTGGAGACGTGTTGCTTTAAACCATGAGCTCTGGCTTTAGTGCCACGCGCATGCGTGCTTTCTTGAATGTTGTAGCGTCTTCAAAGCTTGAGCCGGCTCCTTTTCAATATGGGGGTGTCGCCATGGCGCCGCGTGTTTTCGTTTGTAATTCAAGTTCGCAGCCGCTGCAAAGATGGAGGCCTGGTCATTTTCAAAGAGGGGATGTCGCCTAAGCGTCGCGCGCATTCGTTTCACACACCTGCAACAGTTGTAAAGATGAAGTGCTTGCCGTTTTCGAAATGGAGCTCTTGCATACGCGCCGCGCTCCTGTTGTTCAAAAGTTCGCTATAAATGCAATGATGGCTTGTGGATCCTTCTCAAGGTAGGCGTTCGCATAATGTTCCCAGTGCTACGGGCCAGAATCTTGAGCATATGCAGCAGCTAAAGGGTGAAGGGCGGCTTCTTCTTTATGTTGGGCAGTCGCGCGACGTTTCATTTAGCACGCAGACCCGAAGTACATCTACACAGATGGCGGGCGACTCCTTTCCATAATCGGGCTCTCGCTGGAGACGTACTCGACGCTCATGGCAAGACGTGAAATCTTGTGCAAGAGTTGCACAGGTGGGGGCAGTCCTCTTCCACCACGGGGATGTCGCTGGACACCTCGCTGAACTGTGTGATCATACCTTTGCGCAGTCCTCAACCATCGCTTGAAGGATGCGGGGCAGGTCGCTTCTTGTCAAGCTCTCGCCTGGATGGCAGGCCCATAGGCGGTGGTCTTCCAGGGAGGGGGGCTTTTTTTGACGAGGAGAATGCCTCTTGTAACTTGGGATTTCTGAGGACGGGACTTGTGACGCGACGGGGTGTTGCAACACCGTTGATGCATCATGGGTTTCTTCCTGTCCTCCTCTTCCTCCTCCTCCTCCCCCTCTTGCTCTCCAACTGTTCAGGAGACTTACGTCTTTCCGCCGAACACCAAAAGAGAACATGTGCGGCCTCCGATTTCGTGTGTGTGTGTGTTGTTCGCCACTTCTGGTCTTGCTGCCTGCGTGAATTTCTGACTGATTCGTCCCCCTCTTCCTGTGTGCCTGTTGCGGGGTTTCTTGGGTGCCTCTTGGAGGCCCAGGGGCGACTTTTTGAATTGTTTCACAACTCTGTGGTTCTTCTTGGTCATCTTTGGAGTCTTAGGGGAAATCTTGTCGTTTCTCTTGGGCCCCTTCTGGGGCCTCTTGGGGTTTCTGTTTGCCGTCTTGAAGCCTCTCAGGCTGTCATCGGGTCCTCTTGAGCCGTCTCCTGGTCCTATTGGAGGCCTCTTGGGCTGTCTTGGGCCAGTTTGGGGGGCCTCTTCGCGCCGTTTTGATTTTGCAAACGCCAGAACAAAAAAAAATAAAATAACAAAAAAAACGACGGGAACGCAATCATCATATGCAAGCCATCGCAACATCCAATATGTGTGCCTCGTGAGGCCCTCTTAGGGGTTCCTCTTCGGGTCCTCTTTCGGCACCTTGGAAAAGGCTTGAGGCTACGCTGGGTGCTCTTGGGACCTATCTGGCTCTCTGGCGTGTTGGAGCCCTTCTGGAGCCACGGAGTCGATTCGGAAGCTCCTCGGGTCCTGGAGGCGCCTTGACGAGCTCGCCCCCATCCCCCTCTTGTTGGATTACTGACCCAGTGGCGGGGTGGGGGGGGGGAAAGGGCGAGGGGTGACAGCCACTCATCTCACATGCCTTTCACCCCCGGCAGGCACCTGCTTGCCCGAGCCCCTGCTTGCCCGTGGATCCTGGAATGCTCCCCCCCTCAGATTTCAGGTCACCAAAAAATTGTGACGTCGGAGGAACGGCCGCCGAACGACTCTACCCCGCCGCCCTCCTCAAGGAGGACGAGGGGTTAGGATGCAACTCCTGGAGGGTTTAATTTTGAATCGGCGCTGGTAATTAGTAAATCCCAGCTTTATCCAGCTAGATCCGTCTCTATCCCGTCTAGTCTGGCTTTGAGCAGGGCTTAATCCAGCTCAATCCAGCTCAATTGTCTTCTGCTTTGGATGAATAGCACTGTTCTGACGGGGACCTCCCAGGAGTTGCCTCCTAATGGGACCATCCTCGTTTCTTCCTCCCACCTCCTCCTCCTCCTCTTTTTCCTCCTCCTCGCTTCTAGTTTGTCGCCTCCGGCCTCTCGAGCCGATGATGGTTTGCGTTGCGGCAGCCACGTGGGCCGCCAAACGGTTTCCATTGAGCTGGCTTCGACGGAACGGCATCCGAAGGAACGGCATCTGCTGGTGGTTGCCGGGGTCCCGGACCGCCAAGCAATTTTGAGGAGGGGGAAGTCCTTCGGTAGATTGTGAAGGGGCGGGGGGCCGGGGTAGGACATGATTTTCGGGACAGTTTCGTCTTTCAGGTTGGCATTGGATTTGACTTCAGCCTTCACATTTAGCTCTAGCTTTGATTATTGGGTGGGGAGATGTGGGAGGAGCTCAGTTGGGAGGGTCAGGCGAGGGAGGAGCAGGAGGATAAACATGATGATGAGGAGGAGGAGCAGGGGAGGGAAGAGCAGGATAGGACAGGGGAAACAGAGGAACGAAGAAGAGACGGGACAAGAAAGAGGGGTGCAGCCGTGCCTGCGCCGTTGACCTCGTGCTGTGCGGCCCGTGCGACGATCACCACCCCGAGCTACCATAGCTTTGTGCGCGACCCGATCGGTTCGAGGATGGGTGCCGATGTCTGCGAGCGGAGTCCAGCGATGCGATGGTACATCCCCAGGGGCAAGACCCCTCTGCTCCACACAGCACGCGATGCGGTGGGGCCGATTCTATGCTGTGAGTGATGCTGTTATCATGTGGCTTTGGTCTCACGGACGGCCGCTGGCATGCTGGGCAGAGCAACTTCCGCTGAGCGCGTACGGCATGTGGCTCGTGCTCGGCGCTCCCGTCTCCTCTCTTCTGCGACCGAGTGCTGCCTCAGGACGGCCGTTGCCCAGGCACTGCCAGGCGGACCCGCCACTATCGAGGACGCCGGCGGGGTCGACGATCGAGGGCCGAGGAGCTGTTGCACCACTGTGGGCGCTTCGGGGGATCTCTGGGGAGGGCTTTGCGGGTCGTGAGGGGTGGTCCTCCTGGATGGGACGGCGCCCCTTCCTTGGTGGTGACTCCCCTTTTGGCATCACCTGGGCTGGTGCTTGAGCCCCCGCCCAGGGGAGCGCGCGAGCGCGTGGCGTGCGGGGGGGCGCCAGCGCGCGGCGCCAGGCTGAGCGAGGCAGGAGGCGGTCGAGCCTCCCCTCAGGAGACGGCGGCTGCAAGGGGGGGGGTCGGTAGGGCTGGGCGAGGGAAAGGCGGTCGGCATTTCTCTGAAGCGACATCGTACCACTTGATTATTGTTATTATTCTTAGTATTATTATTATTATTTCTCTTAGTATTCTTATTCTTATGTATTATAGTTTCGTTTATAATATTTATCGTTATTAATATTAGTGCTATGTGTTTCTTATGTTTACTACTCTTCTTTTGCTTATTATCAGTGTTACCCCTCCTCTATTACTATCATTATCCTCCTCCTCCTCATCCTCCTCATCCGTCACCACTGTTGGCTCAATATGATGACGTCCCTAGAGCAGAGACGATACACTTCTGATCCGAGGCCATATGCCCGACGATTCTTGACAATCTCGAAAGTACGCCAGAGAAGAACCCCATCAGTAGTGAGTGATGGAAGCTCGCAAATTCACAGGCGCAGTTACACATAGCCTATCAATTGCAGGCGCGGGTCATTGCCTTACTAATTGAAGTCGTTGTTGAATTGTGGTTCCCGGATTAGTTTCGCGCGCATTTTCTGCAATCGCGCAACAGCTTCACGGAGTGAGGCCTTTAGTTTTTGAGCATCTGGATGTTCCGTCAGACTGTTCCATCATATACGATCGGATACGTACATTGAACAACAGTTGTACGAATTGAGTGCGGCTCATTGTCAAACCATGGCTCTCCCTGTCCTCAATTTCTTTGCCAGGGATCTTATGTCGCGCAGCAGTGGCGCGAAGGGAGAGCGGTTCTTCAGCTGCGTTTTCGCTGGCATCCGCCTTGAACTTGATGATCCTACCACGTGGGACTGCTCACTGCAAGAAGGAAGGGTAACGTGTTTTCTTTTGTCAAGCATGGGTCTCGCCTGAATGGCAAGGTCATGGGGTGCTCGTCGTTCAAGGGCACGCATCCCACACGGGAAATACATGTTTCAAGGAATGTCTGAACGGAAGAGTTCGGGACGGGTGGGTGTATTGCAACATCGTTCACGCATCCAGGGTTTGTTAGTGTTTTTGTGTTTCTCCCTCTCCCCCTTCAACCGTCGAGATGTAGACGCTGCACGCCTACATTTCGCATTGTGTGCAGTTCGCGCCGCCCGACACTGAAACGCCCAGCCCGATCCGACTCGATCGGATCCGACCCCTTTTCCCTCTTCGTGATTCGGCCTCCCTTCTCCTCTTCTCTTCCTCTTCATCCTCCTCCTCCTCTTCCTCTCTTCTCTCTTCTGCCCCCCCACCCCTGCGAGGGGCCCAGACAAACGACGCCGTGCCGTGTTCCGGGTGCAACGGTCGTGATGACGGGGAGGGGGGGGGCGGGGCGATTTTCAACGGTTGGATGAGACACCAACTCACAAACATACATGCATTGCGTCGAGCACTAGTTTAAACACGCTACGCTTGGGACGCGGTTCGGAACGACACCAAATACGTTGCGATGGGTACATTTTAGGGTAAAGACACCACGTTAGTACGCCACGTACACTGCCCGATATATGCTACGGTGAATACGCCACGCTGAGTGCATCACGCTCACACCACTACGATGACCACTCTACCTACGCGACATACGCTACGGTGACAACGCTACGGTCACTACGCTACGCTACCCACAACGCTAAAGTTCTAAAACTATTGCGCTAGACGTTCCGCTGAACACAGCAATGTGAGGAGGAGAAGGAGGATGCATAGCAGGATGAGGAGAAGGACGGGGACGATCATGATGAGGAAGATCATCCTGAGGGAAAGGATGATGGAGAGGATGAGAGGCAGCCGGATGAGGAAAAACATGTTGCGGAAGAGGGGGAGCAGGAAGTGCAGGATGAGGATGCTCATGAGGAAGGCGAGGAGGACGAGAAAGAGCAGGATGAGGAGGACGAGGATGAAGAGGAGGAGATGGAAGCGCCACGCCACCACGCCAGATCCATTTGAAATTCCTAATACACCACGCTACATGCGACACGCTAAATGCACGTTCAACAACACCACGCTAGATACCCTACGTGAGATACAGAGCACGATGAGTAAACTACTCGGCGCACTCTGCCAATCACCACCCGAACTCGCCGCTTCCTCAAACAATTCCACATGCTCAAGCCTCGTGTTCGAAATCCTTAAACTGAACGCTTCGAGTCGTCGTGGGATACGTTGTCGGGTGCAGCGGTTTGAGAGATTGTGCACTTTGTTTGTTTGTGGAGCTCTGCGCCCTGACCGATCAGAGAGGCGACGCTTCAGGAAGGACGCTCTGCCAAGACTGTTGGCTGCAGCACAACTTTGAATTTTATGCCGCCTGCTCAAACGCAAGACTCGAAACGACGAGTCGCCGTGGGAGGCGCTGAAACACAATACTAAATGAACTAAGCTAGGTGCACCCCGCTAGATTCAGCCGGCCTGCTCTTGAGCTGACTTTGGTTGAGCCGGGCTTCTTACTCAGGATCATAGGCACTTGCAATCGTCCCTGAATTGCTTCCTGCAGCCAGGACGTTGAAAGGATGGGGCTCAGTTTGTTTGCGAGCTGCTCCTGAGATTTTCACGCCGGGGGGCCTCATCATGGCCGAGGCTGGCCCTGGCCAGATATGACACTCTCGAGGCAGCAGGACCGAAGCAGCCCCGATTGCACAGTTCACGAGGGAGGGCCGCGATGGGCCACCGATCTTGGGGGCCCGGGCTCCCTCACCGGACCTTAGACGCATCATAGGCGCTATTGGACCCTTACACACAGGTTGTTTTGTTACAACATTCACCCTCCCTTGTGCGTCGTCAGCCCAAGGCTGGATTCCGCACGCACGAGTTCGTCGCTATTCTCTCCTCCCCCTGCTCGGCTCCCTCCTCTTCCCCCGCCCGAGTCCGGAGCGATCGTGATTGGTCGCCATTCTCGGTACTGTGCCTGGCTTGCGCTGTGTGTTTTATAAAACTTGCCAGCTGGCCATCGGGGATGCGCACACATCGCGTATGTCTAGGTCCCTTTCTTCCCGTCCCCCTCCGCCTCCCTGCTCATTCCCTCGTTGTCCCCCCGCTTCTTCCCTACCCAGTTTCACCGGTGCGATTTGGGGTGGGTTCGTATCGTGTAGAGCTTTGGTGACTAAGGATCAACTTCGCTTCTTTGGAGGTAGCCCTCTCGCGGTGGCGCCGTGATGGCCTGACCCCTCCATGCCAGTGCTCCTCTCTGCCGTAGGTGACCGCTCGCTTGGGCAGTTACCACGGGAGCGTGGTTCGTTCCTCGTCCGCGTTGGCAAGGCCTCTGGAACTCTGAAGCACCCTCGAAAGCTCCTGGGTTCCAAAAAAGAAAACATTCACCCTCCCTCAGAATGCAGTTCCCGGGATGTTAAATTCAGCATCGGCGCTGGTATATCCGTGGTTCAACACAGGCCTATTCCAGCTCCATCATGTTCCCGCTTAAGCTGGCCAAATCCTGCTCAGTCCGGCTATCTCCTGGGCTTAACCCGGCCTTATCTGGCTCAATGGTCCTTTCCTCGAGCTTATCATCGTTTTTATGAAGACCTCCGGGGGGGCGCTTCCTAATTTCTCTTCCCTATTCAGCTTTCCTCGTGGCTACGCGATGACCACAAGAGGCCACCCACCCCAAAGCCGTGCCGAGGACTTCCGCGTGGCGCTCATGCAGGCGGAGCCGTGCCCCCCCCTCCTCCCCCCCGCCCACGTGGCGGCGGAGCCCCGGTACTGCCGCTCCTCCAGGGCCCGGCCGGGAGCGCCCGTGCGCAGGGGGTACGAGGCTCGAGTTATCAGGGTAGGTGAGAGGTGGTCAGGGACAACTCTTGATTTGGTCCTCCCGTTGTCGCGCTGGAGTTGTCCCAGATTGCACTCAACCCGAGTAGTCTCGGATCACATTCTGCCCCATGTAGATATTGTCCAGCACTGGTGTTGAAACAACGAATGTTCCGGACCAAGCGGTTCACAGGATTTCCGGGGCCACATTTGGGACGCCAGCCAGGGCCTTAGCACGATCAGGTCTGGATAATTTGGGTGTAAAGTGGGCATCTCGAGGGGGCGAGCAGCGGATAGAGGAAACGCAAACATGGATTCAGGCGCATGGATTCGCGACGGATTCCGCTTCCATGCGCCATCGGCGCGGTCCGTCGCCATCTCAGGCGGCCCTGGCCTCATGTTTTTGTGATGATTTTCCCGATTCGTGGATCTGGCGCCCAAGCACAATATCCACTGATTCGTAATCCGTGTCAGCGAATGCCCGAGTGGAGGAGGCGGCCCCTCCTCTTGGTGCGATCGAGTTTGGGAGGGAAAGGCAACGGGTGGGCGCGGAGACCGGCAGCAGCGCCCGTACACTTGTGAGCAGGAGTCGCAGTCAGTGTCGCCCCGGACGGTGCCCATGTTGGACAGACGTTGCCTGCCCAAGAGCGGCCGCTGCCGATTCTGGACAACATCTGCTGTTGGGCATCGCCGTCATTTTTTGTCTGTGCCCATCTCGGGCGTGCCAATCCTCCTCCTGCTCATTCTCGGGGTCTCTTCCCAACACCTCGGTGGGGCCATGTGCCTTCAGGTTCTAGGCGGGTGATCGAATCTGGCCCCACCAGAGGTGGCGAGGGATTGGGAGGAGGGAGGGGGGAGGGGGACGTGAGTCGAATGACCAGTGAGGAACGAAAGAGGGGGGATGGAGCAGGAGGGGCGCGGAGGGAGGACGGAGGAGGGCGGGCGCCGTCGTACCGGGCCCGTGGCCCCGCAGGACCAGCAGCACAGAGAAAAGTAGAGGGGCGCCTTGTGAGGCAGCGGGCCGCCCGGTCGCAGCGGAGGGAGGTCGGCCAAGCGCGCAGCGCCCGCGCGTCGCAGGTACCTCACGCACAGCCAGCTCGAGTGGCTCGTGGCGCTGACGGACAAGGACCGCGGGCCAGGGGCGCGCGCAAGAGCGCGCCCCCCACACCCCACGGTCGGGGAAGCGCAAGACTCGAGCTCACCAGAACTGGGGTTTGCCGCTGCGGAGTTTGGAGGTTCCGGTGTTCGTGGGATGCTTGCAGCGCGAGCGCACGTCAAATCTCAGAGTGGGTCTCGTCATTTTTCTGACGGCCCCGTCAGGCCAACCCGAGTCCCACGACCCCGAGTCTCACGTCTCCCGGACACGCGCACTTGCCCTCTCCGTCGGGGGGTGTGGGGGGGGATATCCCGAATTTGTCCACAGGTCCGTCGACGACGATGGATCGACGACGTCTGGCGCCACTTGTTGAAGGAGACACTGTATAGCGAACGCTATATCCGACGCCGTCTTGGCTTAAGGCTGCGCTGTCCTATTTGCTTTGTGCACAGACCTGTGTACCTCTATCTTCTATCTGCGGGTCAGATCAACGGACAAAGGCCATTTCCTGCTATGACACATCTCCCATGTCCATGGCTTCTCTCTTAGCTCTCGCTTTTCTTACCATCGCGGGACGAGTTGGGCAGGCCTCGACACGTCGCTGACGTTATCCTAAGAGTCGGGTTTTCAGTTTATTACCTCATGGTCAATCCATGCACCCTTATTGCGAAGGCCTGACGGCCGGTGCCGCCGACCCTGTTCGCAATGCGCAGCAAGAGATTACGAGGTTGCTCAAGGTCGGCTTGGCTGGAGCCCAGGGGAAGAGGAGTCCCAGGGGGGGGCGTCGTATCTGACCCGGGGGGGGGGTCGACACCCCCCCCCCCCTCCCGGCGGGGGAGGGATCAAAGGGAAGGGGCTTCCCTTCGACTCAATTACGAGGTTGCTCAAGGTCGGCTTGGCTGGAGCCCAGGGGAAGAGGAGTCCCAGGGGGGGGCGTCGTATCTGACCCGGGGGGGGGGTCGACACCCCCCCCCCCTCCCGGCGGGGGAGGGATCAAAGGGAAGGGGCTTCCCTTCGACTCAATTACGAGGTTGCTCAAGGTCGGCTTGGCTGGAGCCCAGGGGAAGAGGAGTCCCAGGGGGGGGCGTCGTATCTGACCCGGGGGGGGGGTCGACCCCCCCCCCCCTCCCGGCGGGGGAGGGATCAAAGGGAAGGGGCTTCCCTTCGACTCAATTACGAGGTTGCTCAAGGTCGGCTTGGCTGGAGCCCAGGGGAAGAGGAGTCCCAGGGGGGGGCGTCGTATCTGACCCGGGGGGGGGGTCGACACCCCCCCCCCCCTCCCGGCGGGGGAGGGATCAAAGGGAAGGGGCTTCCCTTCGACTCAATTACGAGGTTGCTCAAGGTCGGCTTGGCTGGAGCCCAGGGGAAGAGGAGTCCCAGGGGGGGGCGTCGTATCTGACCCGGGGGGGGGGTCGACCCCCCCCCCCCCCTCCCGGCGGGGGAGGGATCAAAGGGAAGGGGCTTCCCTTCGACTCAATTACGAGGTTGCTCAAGGTCGGCTTGGGGGGGGGGCGTCGTATCTGACCCGGGGGGGGGGTCGATACCCCCCCCCCCCTCCCGGCGGGGAAGGGATCAAAGGGAAGGGGCTTCCCTTCGACTGAATTACGACGTTGCTCAAGGTCGGTACGGGGGGGGGCGTCGTATCTGACCCGGGGGGGGGGTCGACACCCCCCCCCCCTCCCGGCGGGGGAGGGATCAAAGGGAAGGGGCTTCCCTTCGACTCAATTACGAGGTTGCTCAAGGTCGGCTTGGCTGGAGCCCAGGGGAAGAGGAGTCCCAGGGGGGGGCGTCGTATCTGACCCGGGGGGGGGGTCGACACCCCCCCCCCCCTCCCGGCGGGGGAGGGATCAAAGGGAAGGGGCTTCCCTTCGACTCAATTACGAGGTTGCTCAAGGTCGGCTTGGCTGGGAAGAGGAGTCCCAGGGGGGGGCGTCGTATCTGACCCGGGGGGGGGTCGACACCCCCCCCCCCCTCCCGGCGGGGGAGGGATCAAAGGGAAGGGGCTTCCCTTCGACTCAATTACGAGGTTGCTCAAGGTCGGCTTGGCTGGAGCCCAGGGGAAGAGGTCTCCCAGGGAAAGGGAAGGACAGAGACGACGAGTACAAAGAATGACGGAGATGACGGCTCGAACGGAAAAGCCCCTCACACACGCCGACAGGGTCGGCGGATTTTTCTTCTTGGTAGCGGAGCTGGCTACACCTTCATGTGGATGGCTGTTACATCAGGTGTCATGTACATATCAACTTGCCACGGCACAGTGGAGTGCCCGACTGCACCGGCTCTCAGCCATTACGCTCCCAATGCTCTCGAACCAACTGGTAGCTTACAGTCCTATACCTCCATCCCCCCACCGCGTGGCCACAGTCCAGGCGCGACTCGGCGACCGATGCCTAGCCGAAAGTTGACGGCCACGTTAGACCTGCCACCCAGTCGCAACCCTACGGGCGCGACAATATCCAAAGTTAAGCAACCTAACATCATCAGCTACAACACGACTACGCACCATGTTAAGGTCGCCATATTTGGAACTATCTGGGCGTGCCTGGGCCTTGCCGTGGCATGCATGCGAGGAGGGAGATTGGATGAAACACGCGCTCGGGGTCTCTTCTGGGAGCCCGCGGGCAACGCACCCTTCCGCGACTTTGTTCGCGAAGTACACGCATGGCTGCACGTTGCGAGCGGAAGCATTGGTTCCACCCCAACAGGCCGCAGCTTTACAACGCGGTTTAGGAGTATTCGCTAGGACGCTAGCCATGAGGGTGCCGTCCGCCATCATCAGTTACGGTGTCACACTATAGGGGAGACGCACCGACGGAATCACAAAAACCAAGTACAAGCACAAACCTTGAAAACTTTGAGAACGAGCGACAGCTCACTTCGGGGACAGCCCTCATCGACGTCAGGGTCGAGAGAAACGAACGCATCGATCCAGCGCCGGCTCGATTCGAGATGGCCAGGCTGGAAGCATACTCAGCAGGGCTCAACATTCCCAATTTCCAGATCCTTACTCTGATCTTATTTCGTGCCCTGTGGGTTGGTACCTCCCGGGCAGCGCAGTTGCTGCAACCGCTGAACTACCAGATGCCCCGTATTCAACAACAGTACGACCATTTCCTGGAGCGAATGTGCAGCCACAGACACTTGGCTGAGAGCTCCCCAGGGAACATCGGGGGCATCTTCAGCTGGCGCAGCGCTGGCGTTTACCACGCCGGAATATGCGACGCACCGGCAGCCATGCCGAACAGCAGCTGGAACGACGGATAGCCCACTGAGTCCACGACGCTTCTAGGCCAAGGTGCCCACAGCAACAGCGAACAGGCGTCTGGCTCAAACGTGGGCCGCCAAGGACGACTGGGGCGGATGGAACGGACCATGCCCCATCGCCCGTAATTACCCTGACCGTGGTCAGGCAGTAGCGCAGGTCGGCGGTCGGGAAATATTGGTGCAATGCCCAGACTTACGACGCGCATTCTATATTGAAGTATCCATGGTCCGCGAGATCGGCTCGGATACAACGGCAACGCGAACAGTATTGACCTTCATCGCGAGCCTGCCTGCTGGGAGACCTGCCATGGCCCTTGGCTGCCTTCCGACCACGCCATGGAAACTTGCAGGTGACTACAGCGAGTCGGCTCTCGCCCAAAGTGTTCTTAGCCCTACAGCTCCTCTTCGGAAGCTACATTTGCATGGAAAAACGTTGCGCTTGGCTAAAAGCATCAGCAAGCGACCTTTGGCCCCCCGCGCTGATAGCTTCGCCCCGGCATGCCATGACATCGGCGCTATACCTGGATTTCATTACTACGACTCAGAAGGTGCCGCTCTGAAGATTTACGACATCACTGGTGCCGCGCACGCACGAGTCATTCAGCGCCTGAAGTCACCAAAGTGTTTCACAGGGTTTGGCGAGGATCTCCCCAAGTTTGAGGACCTCGCGGGCGCGCCAGTGTCAGGCGGCCACGCCCAGGTGGAGGACAGACCTCCAGCGCAGGCCGCCCTTAGCGGCAGACGGCAGAATATTGCTTGAGAATCAGAAACGGATTTGGAAGTGCATGCCATTGACGCGCGGTATGTCGAGCCCCATGGGGAAAAGGAATTGCTCGAGACCCTCTTCATCTGAGTCCCTGTGCACGGTGCCCACCGAAACTGTTTCCGACAGCCGCGCGCTCGTGGCTTTGGCCAGCGAAGAGCAAGGACGTCTGCGAGACATAGGTTATGCTCGGAACCGCGGCGCCGACGAAACCTTTCTGGTATTTGGGACGACGGAATGCGACGAGACCTACGATCTCGACTCGGACGACTACGGTCGGCATGTCGAGGTATGCTTTACTGCTGACTTGGCCGAGGTCGTTCTATCAGAGCAACAATGCGAGTCGCTACATGGCGACCAAGTGCCCACAATGCGCGCATACGTCTCAGCCGCAGCTACAAGAGCCGCGGTCGCCAAGGAAGACGACCTCCTGGCGAAGGCGCAGATGCAGGCCAAACCGGCAGAGATATCGAAGGCTGTGTGTAGAGAACTTAAACTTTAGTATGGTAGCAAATGCTTCAGGATGCAAGACATCAAGAATGCTACCCATAGCATGACCTCTGGACACGCGCGCAAGTGGAAGTTTGTCAAGAACGACAGAGGCGAGATGAAATGAACGATGCGTCTGCGCCTTCTTCTCCGTGGTTTTCTGGGCGTCGAAGCGTTCGACGCAGGGGCCTTCCTGGGCGCAGCTCGTCGAGCGAACCAGAGGTCGCTCGCCAGAGTGGCCGCGCGCAAGAAACAGTGAATCGTAGAGCCCATGGGCTTCGATGAGGCTTTTTTGAAGGGTCTGGCTCACCGTGAGTGTTGACAGAGGTTACTGGTCAGAAAGAGCGCATGGTTTGCTTCGCTCGTCCACCTGGCTCAGCTTCGGCGCTGCGTGCAATGCCCGGTTTCTCGCCCTATGACGAGTCAAGGCGCTGTCTCCAGTGCCGTGAACCTGGCGCAGGCACCAAAGACGCACCTGGGGCACTCTCATTGCATCTCAGAACCATTACGCGAG